CCAGTGTGTAAAACAGACGCAGGATCCTATAAAATACAGAAATAAGTGCAGAAATGCATGCCAGCATCTCAAATCTTATTTAGTAGAATTCATTTGATATTAGGATCAAGCTGCAAAGGAAGGTGATTATTAAGAAACTATACTGAAAGTGACAGTCCCAGAAGTTTCATTCCACATGAAGAAATAGCATTTCTAATGAAATTAATATGAAGGAACAAACTCAATTATTTCATATTTTAAAAAAATTGGCAATTCTATGTGAAAGAGGAAAAACTATTTTTTTTTTAATGAATGCACATTCCAATACATCATAATATAAAGAAATAAGACTAATGGCTGAGCTTTACTGTAAGATACCCCTTGGTTTCTGTCTGAAAAAAATCTCCAAGTGGTATTGGTTCTTCAACCATTCTTTTCAACTGCTGTATTGGGTTGCACGAGCGTTGGTGTTGTATTTTGACGAGAGTACGATCATTTGAGTATGTCCGAGGTAAGTAAGAGGTTGAATGTTGATGGTTTGGACGCTATTATATGTATTTATCCGCCATTAACAGCAGATGAGCTGAAACGACCAAAAATGTAATTGACTTGCTTATGTGGAAGATGGAGGAGATAGTAGTGGGAAGCATGAATGTATGCACGTGAAAAAAGGTGTGTTAAAAAATTGACATTTTATTTATTTATTCGTCTCTGTATGCTAATTTTTGCTAAAAGATTTGTTGTTTAATGTTTTTATGTTAGAAAATATGTATTTTTGGTTATTTGTTATTTCCTGTGTTTTAAGATAGCAGTGAATTTTTTCTAGTTAACATACTAGTTTTATCTTTGTTTTAGCTTCCCGATTTTCTTTTAAGTGAAAATAGATTGATGTGTACATGGCCAAAGTTAAGGCAGTGCCCAATGCCTAGTTTGTGCAATTCTTTGATTTCTTTATGTTAAAATAAGTTGATGTGTACATGGACACCGAGTTTGTGTAAGTCTGACTTCTTGTTTTGGTTTTGTGTAGTGCGTGGAAGAATGGGCACCATCCTTGAAATTGGTGCTGACCCTTCCTGGAGCCAATCGTTGCGTCAAAAAAGAAACAATTCACCAAGGGGTACTGTAGAGTAAATTTTAACAAGATTAACATACCTACAGTTAAAGATAGTTCATAAAAAGCCAATTTTATGTAACCTCTTTTCAAAGCTATCAAAAAAGTAAAAATTATTAATTAAAGAATTTAGCATTTATTACCATAACTTATTACTACAAATCAAATATTGTTATTGGAAAGCAACAACACAGTTACTCTCAAATCACAGACAAAACATAGTATATAAATACTGAATCGAGATAATAGAGATTATGCTTTCAAATATAATGCAGAAAAATTAAATACAGTCAAAAGTCTTTAATCCGGACTCGTCAGGACTTCGGCAATTCCGGATTACTGATTTTTCTGGATTATAGATCATCAGTTTAAATCTGGTAACATGGCATGCAGAAATTATAAAATTAAAAATATGAAACCATAATTTATGAAATAAAGAGCAATTATGATCTAAAGGGTATCAAAATTTACAAAAAAAAAAAAAAAAAAAGCTTAATATTTATTTGTTTACTTTATTAAATATTTCTTTCAAAGCGCGCATGCGAAAGCATACATTACGCATAGTTGAAATTAAAAAATAAAAAAAAAAAAAAAACAAAAAAAAAAAAAAACCAAAAAAAAAAAAAAAATTGCTACCAGAAAACTATTTGATGTGTATTCGTGATATTTATAATGACGAGGAATTTGATTTAAATCATATCAAAGATGGAGTACATCGATATGAAATACTACATTTAGTAAGGAATCATAAAGCTGAATAAAATAAAAACATCTGCCCTGAAGATGAGGATAGTGCTGACAAATCAACTTCCAGTTCATTGGACGCCGCGATGCCCCGCCCCCCCTTGCAGAGCAGCGTGCAGCGTGAAATTGATAAACAGATTTTGGAATGGTTAGAGAAACAAACGATATGCCTTTATCCATTTTTTGCAGCAATTCCACTTTTTGTTTGATGGACATCGAAACATGTTTTCGCTTTGTAGATCCTTTGCCAGCTCCAGAATCTGAAATTCTTTTTGGCATAATCAAAAGTTCAATCTTACTTTTATAAAATTTCTGTAACAATCTGCAAAAAATAATAAGCCAAATCCAATTAGAAGATTAGGGAACAACGCAATCTGCAACATTAACTGAAATACATAATTAGATAATTTTAGCCTAGCTTATACCGTCCGTTATACATTAAACGTGCATGTGTAAACGCATATGCACATGCGTAAAGGTATTATGCGCATGTGTCAACACATTACGCGTTCCCGCATGCGCAGAAAGTTTGTAGCTTTGAGGTCCGGATTATAGATCATTCTGGATTATAGACGTCCAGATTAAAGACTTTTGACTGTAGCCCTTTAAAAAAAACCCAATCATTTCACCAAACTCGATACATTATCATATATCTTCACAAAATCATCAATAAGCATTCATCTTTATTTATTAAATTAACCCTCAGTTGAAAGATAATGTTTTAAAGTACTATAGTCTTCGCATTTAGGATTAGTTGAATAAGGCTTTAGAACAGAAAAATTTTATGAACTACTTTCTAAGAGTGGCTCTTATACATATCACACATCAGAAAAATCATGAATTACCTATGCAGTCATTCAGTTTTGCCATTACAAATTGATCCTAGAATGTAACTGCTAGTATTAACTACTCTGCTATTGTTGAGTTTATGCATATTTTCTTAATTTTATCTTGTAAAACGACAGAATTTGTTTAACCCTTTCAGGGGCTCAATGTTATGATTTTTTAAAAGTTATGAAAAAGTAAGCATAATGACATGCAATGGTCCTATAGACAACATAAATGATTTAAAACAGGAAACAAAAAAGTATGAGACAAAAAGTAACTAATAATGCACTAAATTACTTGCATAAAACTATGAAATATTTTTAAAAATTATGTTTATAACTAAGAAAATTATATGTAAAAATAAAAGGAATTAAGATGCATACAATTATTTTACTATGAACTAGAAGCATGAGAAAAGCGACCGCTAAGAGAAGCATAATAAAAACGCAACTACGAGTGTTTTTCAGTGTGCTCTGTGTCTCTGTAAAAAATAAGAAATGTTTTCCCTCTCTCAAAAGCTCCATAAATCCTCATCTTTGAAGCCACTCAAACGAAGATATTGTGCAACTGTTTACAGCAGTGATCCGAAAGCAATAAACACAACTGCAAAAAATCTCGTGACTGCGTCATCTGATCATTTCTTCAATGTCCCAGAGGAGTGGTGGTTTCATACTGAAACCGCAATGAAAACATTCAAATTTAAAAGGGTTCCATTACTTTTTTTTGTGAACTAAGAACATTTCATTACTCATTGATGCCTGCTTATAAAATATATTGTGGAAAAATTAAAATTTTTTGGGTTTTTTGCTTTTAAAATGCGTCAAAAAAGTAGGATGCAAAAGAAGCTATTTTTGAATGATTCGTATCAATTAATGGATGCCAGAAAGGTTTGCTGCTGTCATCTGTTATCAGCTTTAAGAAGTAATTTAATTTTAGCAGCGGTTTTGAGAAAAAAAAAACCAAATTTTCTAAATTAAAAAAAATGTTGAAAACGCGGTTTCAAGGCGAAACCACCGCCCCTGAAAGGGTTAAGCAGGGAGATTATGTTATTAAGAAGTAACCCATATGCAGAGACATTTTAATACTTAATTTTCGCTTATGTACAATTTTAAAAGTGTTTGCAGCCATTTTCGAACTATTCATTACCAAAATATAGGTTTCCAAATGAACTAGATATAAATTCTGGTACTGCTCTGTTATCAGGACTAGGTCCAGAAATGTATGCATGTATGGATGGATGTGTTCACATATCCATGTATGTATGTACATACATATGTATCTGTGTATGTACAACCATATATATGCATATAACTTCCAAGTCTGGTTCTTATAACAGAAGAGCACCTAAATTTCTTCTCTTGCTTTAAAATTCAAGGCTGGACAGATATCAAATAATTCAAGTTTTTTTACTCATCAAACTGATGAATTTTTAAACAGAATGTGGATTCTGAATTGTACTCATAGAATCTCATAGTGATTTGGTACATACTTTAATTAGATCATAACATTAAAAATTGTTAAAGAAGGTAAACTGGGATCAAAATCTAACAAAACATACATTTAAAAATATATTCCAGCTAATATCTAATATTTGTAATTATAATTTTAAATTATTGCTCATACAGCATTCTAACTCATCAAGCAAAAAAAGACAAGTGGGAGGGGAGGGAGAAATAATTCAAAGCAATTCTGAAAGTTTAATTAAAACAAAAATAAGCACATACCTTACATGCCAATAACTGAAACAAAATTAGAAAAGTGTAGCTTTGCAAGTATTGCTTATAGGGTGAAATGCAATTCCATTATGCTACACATGTCAAACTTTTCTGCAAGTATTTTGCAACAGTATACATTATGATAAATTTTAAAAAATAAACAAAATATAAAGAATTATGCATTTAAAATATCGAGTGAAAGGTACACTGACACAGTTCATAATATACTAAAATTTTCAGCAATAGAAAACTGTTATTATTTAAAAAATAAATGCAAACTCACAAATTAAATAAGAATATGTAAAAAAAAAGTTTGGATATATACTACAAATGAAGAGTGGTATTGTTCCTAAAACCTTCGTAATTACATAGCACCCATTTCGAAAACAAACAATTATAAATTACACTCCATAAATACCGAGCTAGAAATTTATACCAACAAAATTAACAGATTAAGAGTTAATGTAGGTTATTTTTTTTTTTTTTTTTTTTTTTTTTTTTCAGCAAAATAAAATTATGAATACTTTCCGATCTCGGATATTTCCTGAATATGGGATATGTCAAGAATAACAATAAATAATAAAATGAAATTAAGATGAAATGAATAATCACTGTGTACATACATTGTGGTGCGAGCTATATTCTCGCCATTACGCTGGAAATTAGACCTTAATTAAGCAAGTGTATTTCCTTACTAGTCTACGAAGTGGTTCCACCCACTCCATATTGATACTTTCATTTCAGCGTATCTTAACATCCCCTTCTGCGTCAAAACACGGCCTGCACCATTGCTGCGTCAGCCATCAACATAGCGCAGAATGCCAGACCTTATTTTTTGTTTTTTGTTGTTGTTTGTTGCAGTTTTCCGTGAATAATAGTTATCAACATAAAATGCACGGAAAAGTTACGTCATATGCTTCTAGACATTTAGAAGGCTTATAAACATACATTCATATGTGCCCAGAACTGAATAATAATAAAATATAGTTCCGCGTTTAAAAAAATATTAAAGTTTTCAAAGGCGTATCTTCATCTAAATAATCAAAAGCGCTCTTTAACACTTGCTTAGAATTAGGCACTATAAATTAATTAAAATTTTCTGAATATATTTCTTGCTTTGTGAGCACCAAACAATTCTCTAATTAATTGAAGATTAGTTAAAATAAATTAACTAAAGTATTATATCTTCCCATGTATAAATACATTCAATTAAATACCACGGTATATCTAAAATATAAGTCTTTGAAAATTTTCTACGTTTGCATGTAGCCTCACTTCTTATCGACTGGTAGTCTATCGATATAAGGAATCATTTAAAGGGAAGTTTCAAAGCTGTGTGATATTGGTGTTATGAATTCATTGCATATTCAGTTGTTAGTGTAATTATGTCAAAAATATTTGAACTCGATGATGTTTTATATGTTTGCACTTGTGGCGCAGAGCATCCAATCACAAAAATATATTTTTGCCGCCACTGCTCTAAGTTAAGATGTGGAGATTGCGTTTCCCATGAGGTTTTATTTCCATCTCTTATTAAATTTCCATCTTTTATTATAGAGTTTTTATTACAAAAAATTCAGATTTCTGTTATATAAAATGTTTAAGTAATGTAGAAAATTTGCATAAAATTTAAAATTAAAAGTCGACTGTTATGTCAACATACTATTAATAAAAGTAATAATACTCAGTGAAGGTTATTCATATACAGCTGTTAGGTTGTAAGATTTACAAAATTTGAGAACTCTAAATTATAAGCAATATATTCCATAATCTAAGCAACATTATATTTTTTATAGTCAGACAAATTATGAAAATGTTATAAAAGCAATAAGGAAACCTGATTTTGGTCCTGATTTGAACCTATGAATTCATGCAATTACACATCCCTATAGTTCTAATATGAGGTAAATAAGTGTTTTTAGACCATGGTAATTTTGATCTCCTTAGCAAAGGAAACACCAAGAGTTTACCTCATGCTACTGAAAATGTGTTTTCCTTGGGGGGCGGGGGTTGGAGTTATAATAATATGCAGAGTTGACATATGAAAAAATGTCAAGACTCATGTAATGTAATATTAAAAGCACCAGTTTTAACTATAAAAAATTTGGCTTTTTAAAAAATATTTTAAATGTTGTGCTTTCCTAACACAAAAGTAACTTTAAGAAAAACACACAATTTATCCCTCCTGCCATCAAAGCTCTGATACCTATCAAATTCGTTAAAGTTATGTGGACAGAAATGGCGGCATGTTTGAAGCTCAGTATTTAGGGTTACCAAGGTTATCATAATTTTTCATTTATCGCTCCAAAATGTCGCCAAAAAGGACTAATACTAAAGCTGTGCCAATTATTGTAGTAATGCAAGCCTTTACAGTTTTGTATATTTATTACCATACATTTTTAGGTCGATTCCCATTACTGCCAGAACTGCTTGGAATATATGCCAACTCCTGAAGCGAGGTTGAAAAAAAATAAGTGAGTATTCTGAGCTTCCCTTCCCATTGTAAACACAATTCTAGACACACACTAATTTTTCAGTTAATCAGTTAAAATTTCATATATTTCAGTGAATTACCTTATGTATCATTTTGTAGATGTTCTAACTGCTTTGACTGCCCAAGCTGCATGCATACCTTATCAACAAGAGCAACCAGTATTCAAGTGCCTAATCCAGAAGATCCAACCAAAAATATTCCTAAGAAAGTGTATTACCTAGTTTGTGGCTTTTGTCGATGGACATCTCGAGATGTAGGCATCCCTGATCAAACTACAGGTATTTTTTGCAACTATATAAGGAATATTTAGATATCAAAGAAAATTACTGATTTGATGTCAGGGCTGTGGAGTCAGTGAGGAAAATGAGCGACTCTCCAACTCTTGGAATTTTAAAGACTTCGACCAAAGCTGTTGTATATACAGCTTTGACTCCGACTCCCTCATATATATATATATATATATATATATATAACATACGCACATGGGTTACAACTTATTTTTTTAATATAAAAGAAGTAATAGATGCTACAGGAAAAAAAATCGATGCCATAGGAAATTATATTAATTAGCATTTATTATGAAATGGAAAAACTGGCATTAGTTATTTCTAAGAAACAGTATAGCTTCGGGAAGATCTTCGTTGGAGGGCCGTAGATCCGATTTGATAAACTTCAGAGCTGAGAAGAATAACTTGAGTAGGAGGAAGAGCTGTTACTGTTAGGGCTACTTCTTTGAACTTTTCAGGATAGATTTTTATAAGTTCTTAAAGATGTGTCTTGCAAGTGCAATCCTATTTCTGTATTTCTTCAAAGCCTGTGTAGAAATCTTGTTTGTATTTTTTCATTTTTATATCTAAAGGCTCTTGATTCTTTATTTTCATTCGCTTTGCCATAGCCTTTTCAATATTATCCAAAAATATTTCTCAAAATCTAATTCGTCACTGGAAGAGGATGATAGAGATTCAATTGCAATGTCTGCAGTTTGACTCTCCTGATTCGAATTCTCCAATTGTTCTGAGAAAAATTTCACTCTTAATGAAAGTTCATAGATGGCTTTCTTTGTCTTTTTAATTTGCTTGTTATCCAAGAAAATTTGGTGCTTCAGATCTACATATATTGAACTCATCAAGGGTAAAAGTATAGTTTAGGGTACCCCTTGGTGAAACTTGGCGGCACATGGATACTGATTTTGTGCAATTCTTTGACTCGTTATTTTGGCTTGCGATTTTTGCAACAAAAATTGCTGCTACACAAAGCCAAAATAACAAGACAAACAATTGCACAAACTCGGTATCCATGTACACATCGACTTATTTTCACTTAAAAAAAAAGCCCCCGACTTGCAGAAAAATAGCATTACAAACTCCTCTGACTTTATCCATGTACACGTCGACCTATTTTCACTTTAAAAAAAATCCCAGAATTGCACAAAAATGGCATTGTGCACTCTTTCAACTTTATCCATGTACACGTCGACCTATTTTCACTTTAAAAAAAAATTCCAGAATTGCACAAACTTGCATTGCACACTCTTTTAACTTTGTCCATGTACACATTGATATATTTTCACTTAAAAAGTCAAAGGAGCACCCAATTCTACAATATTAGGCAAATAAAAAATACATAATCTCAATAAAATAAATTTTAAACCAAACAATAAAATAGCATAAAAAGGAAAAACATGTTATACATTTAAGGGAAGCACTTCCGCAGAGAACCCGGTAAATGTAAATATCGCCAACTTTGGCGATAATAGTTCAAACATGGTAACCTAGCTAATACATCTTATTCGCATGTGCGAAGGTTGTCGTTGTTCGCATTTGGAGATTTATATTATTCTTCTCTTATTTATTGTTATTTTTTCTGAATTTTTTAACAACGAATAGATAGAAATATTTTCGCATAATTAAAGAAGTTTTCGTCGAAAGATGCCGGCTCTCGGCTCATCAGTTTGGGATCAAAGAAAGAAAATATGGCGGGAGGGGTGAATGCTAATTTGTAACATGCTGTTCACGTTATGTTCTTAATTATTAACAGCTGTAAGCACGCAGAACCATGAGGTTTCCAAATCCTAAAATAATTTTTAAATGTATAAAGTTCTAGTTTTATTAACTTAACAATACTGAAGAAAATTTCATTACTGTTGAAGGTTATTTGTATTGTGAAATATACTATGAAAAAGGACAGGTATTTTTTTCAATGTAAAATGCTTTAAGCTGTATGCAAGTAACTTGAAAAAAAAAAAAAAAAAATACTGAAAACTATGTAAAATGGATGTATTAAAGGTCATGCATTCATTAATTTATTACATGGGCATGGCTCTTACCGAAATACATCAATCAACAGGCCAAGTACTTAATAATGAAAAATGACACTTGTAATAGAAATATTAGTATTCTATATGAATTAAAGAAAATACATATAAGTATAATGTAAACGTAAGTATAACAATACTAATTTTTATTTTTAAATGAATTTCTACTTCCCGTTATGCTTAATACATTGTTTTCAGTGCTAACTTGAATTTAATACAAATTTATTTTCGTATATCACGTTTAACCTGTTAGTTTTACATCTACATACTTATTATCTGTGAATTTTTACTACCATTGTCTGCTAACTTGAATTTACATACACTAAAAACCACGTTTACGGCTCGGCTCATCGAGCTTGGCAAGTAAAAATGCAACGGCGCCAACGGGTTCTCTGCGGATGAAAACCCCATTTAAGCACTACCAAAAGCAAATATTCACTTACCATGATTTTCGAGTTCGCTTCGTACACCCAGAGCCACGTAAAAATCAAAATATCAATCATAATCAAATGACTTTTTCAAACCAGGTACTCTTTCTGTTTGAACGCTTCACATAGTAACCATCTGAACCTTTCTTCCTACAAACCCATTCAAATCCATCTAAACGGTTTTTATGTTCGACTAGACGCATATTCTTCCTACATACAGGACACTTATAATGGCCACTAAGTAAACCTTCATTTACACACCAGTCAATTAAAGCTCTTTTTCCCTTTTGCTCCAAATCGTATAGAAACTTCAAATTAATCTTACTACATTTGACCATTCTACCGTCTAAAGAATCAAGCCAACACACACCACAAAAACACTTACAAAACATCCCATGATTCAAAATTTTCCAGAATCATGCACCTGATTACATCACAATAGGGTCTCCATAACATTGAACTACTCAGGCTACGATAAATGAAACAACAACTTGGCGATAAATCAAACAACAACTTCGCCATAATACAAGGGGTACAACTTCGCCATAATACAAGTCTACTCTACCCCTCATCAAGATCTCATTGTCTAGCAAACTAGTTTCTCTTTTCTTCATTGAAGATGTGATTCCTTCTGCAATAAACCCTTCATTTCAGAAAGAACAAACATCCCATTCTCGCCTCCTGTCAATTCTTCAGATTGCAGTTTTTTTGTGGCTGAATACGGTGTAGAAAGAAAAGTTTCCAATTCTGAAAGATCATTCCACAGTCTTTCTGTTAGTGAAACATTAGGTTATCTCCATCTTTTAAAAAGTTCTTAGTTCTGGAAACCTCTTTATCATCAAATATGTACTTCCTTATCATGTTGCTTGATCAATAATTGCTTCTTTTCCTGCTTGCTTCCTAAGAATGGCATCAATTTTGGGAGTTCTTGCTGCTATTGCTGCTTACCTAAATTTACCAGTGAGATTTGTAACTAAATGAATCAGTTTAATCACTAATGGAATATATCGCATCCATCCTCCCTTATATTTATTTATTAATATGTCAATAAAATAGAAAATAACTGTTTATTAATGATACAGTCCATAAATAAAAATAATAACTCAGCTTGTCATGAATTTATTTTCAATTCATTTTAATTTCATTTCAAATTCAAACTGTCCAGCAAAAACTGGAGTTGGAGTCAACCTGTTTTTAGCGACTCCAGCTCCGACTCCAAAAGGACCCCAAAATCTGCCAGACTCCATGATTCCGACTCTGACTCCACAGCCCTGTTTGATATGTCTATGTATGTATATTTGTATACACATAAAATTTACTTTTTAAAGACATATGAATGTAATTATTTATAACAAAAGTATGGGAAATTTCATCTTAGTGTTTTAACTGGGATATATTTGAGAGTCCAAAATTAAATGTAAAATTGCCTTTGTGTCAAATAATAATAATATAACTTGATATATAAATTCTGTTGTGCAGCATTATTCATTTGTGTATCTGTTTATTTTACAGCCAGTGGGGGATGGCAAGAAATCGAAAATCCCCATAGCAAGAGGGTAAGTTATATTATTGTTAATTTGGAAAAATATATTTCAGGGTGGCAATTTTTGGTGATTTGCCAGCAAGGCACAATTTCAAGATGTCTGCTACACAGAACCAAAATAGCAAGTCACAGAATTGCACATATTCGGTGTCCATGCTATTGATTTTCACTTGAAAAAATCAGAGAATTGCACAAACTCGGCATTGTGCTCTCCCTTGACTTTATATCAATCTATTTTCACTTAAACAAAATTTAGGAAAATGATGTCGTCATATAATGTTAAAACAAAGTTACTCATTACCAAAACTGAAATTTGTAGCCAATCAAAGCTCAATAAGCTGTATTTTAAATCACACAATTAAATAACATAAAAAAGGAAATGCACATAATGGCACATACGCACTACAAAAAGGAAATATCAACGTACCATGTTTAGAAATTTCTGTCTCTTCAGTCTGTGGCACACAAAATTCCTTAACAGCATCCAAAAACTTATCTAATTATCTGAACTATAATATGCATACTGCCGTCACCACATAAATTTACAAAAAGAAGAGTAAAAAATATGCTCCGTAGTGCTGGACTGTTGGTGGCATTTCTTGTGACAAACCCATTCAAAGCCATCTGAACAATGTTTATGTTGGACCATACATATTTATTTCCTTCATACAAACAGAACACTTATAATGACTATTGAGTAAACCTTTATTTACACACCAGTCAGTTAATGCTTTTTTTTTTTTTTTTTTTTTCCTTTCATTCTAAATCATACAGAAACTTCTGATTAATTTCATCACATACAGCCCTTTTAGGGCGTACAACACAAAATACAAAATACAAAACACACACGCAGCACAAAATAAGAAATTTATTTTCATAGCCTTTCATTCATTAAGGCTAAGTTTTAAAATATTCGTAAGATGATTAAAAAAAATAAGAAAATCTTTTCAATAACAAGGTTTATATTATAGATCCTAGAATAAATATTTCATTATTTGGAGATCAGTGTAATGAATCGTTAATTAGTTACATTAAAAATTCCTGAATAATTTGCCTAAAAAAAATCTTATTTCATCACCTAAGGATTTTACTTTTCTGTTAACACAAACAGCTCTATGTTCTACTACCCATAATTTCAAATTATTGTGGAAGTATTTTTTATATTTTTATTTTTATTGTAAATTCTAATAATTTTTTTATTAAACTTTAATAACATTTCTTTTTCTGTTTTGGTAATGAAATCAAAATGTTTAAAATCATTAGCTGTTAGATAATCATCATGATATGTTTGACTTTGGCTGATACATTATATCTGCTGTTAATTGAAATCTGATTCGTTAAAATATGTTATTTCTATAATTAATCAGTTACTTAAGTTTAAAAAAAACATTGTAAAATTAAAATTATTAGTCATGATGTTTCTAGAAAATACAAAAATCAGAGCAGAATCAGGATTTTTAATTGCTCGTGACTGTTTAAAATTTCGAATATAACTTTGGATTTTCAGTAAAAGTTTTATGGGCTTATAATGTACATATTTTTGTATAACTTCTTATTTTTAATTTTTGAATGATGACTTTAAAATTTTTAGTTATTTCTTTGTATTAGTTTATTTTAATAAAAAATTATTAAATATGACTCATTATTTGAATACTCATTTTGTAGATATCTCAACTGATGGAATATTATAGAGTACTTGCTCAGCGAGACAAGTTGGAGAAAGAAAAGAAAAAAAAAGGCAATCAGCGTTATGCATATGTGCACATTTCAGTAAGTATATTTAATAGTCAATATTTTAAATGGCAAAGAACAAAAAGAAACTAGAAGCAGTATTTATCATTCCCATGCCTTGACAAGTGTTGTCATTGCATGAAACACAAGAGCTTTAATTTATCTTTCATACATTATTGCTGTATATCATATCATAAGTTTATCTTTCAGACTTATTCCATGTTTGATTGATTAATAACCTGAACAAGTTTAAAATATTAAATTCATGTTTTAATAGTATAAATCTTTATTTTACTTTTTAATAACATACCTTATTGATATAAATTAAATGTTATTCCTATATATCTCATTGTTGTTATATAGAAAAAATTGCTGCTTTGTCGTAATGAAAATGAAAGATGTTTTTGTGCCTCCCCCCCCCCGTGATGATATTTTGCACTTTTTAAATTAAATTTTCAATGTAAAAACTGTTTTATGGAAACTTTGAAATTGGAATGAATGAATGTTCTATGTGCTGTATTTGATTATCACTATATAGCATTTATAATATTTATTTTTCATATTGGGGAAATTCATTACAGTGATACAGTCTTTACTATTTAGCCACTAGTATTAAATATTTAAGAAATCTAGACTGAATGTTTTTAGTTGTCAGTGCATATTAGTAGCACTGAGATGCTTTTACTTATACTAGTAATATATTTATATTACAGTTAGTAATATATTTATATTCCTAGTATAAGTTAGGGTTAGAGTTGACTTTAAGGTACCCCTTGTATTATCACGACGTTGTTGTTTCATTTATTTTTATTGTATCATTTAAGTTATTGTATTATTTATGGTAACCTGAGGTGTTGGATGTTATGGAAACCCTATTATGACGTAATTGTTTGTATTATTCTGGGAAATTTTGAATCATGGAATGTTTTGCAAGGGCTTTTGTGTGTTGCTTAAGAAGTACATTGCTTGTTTCATTGTTTAGACAGTACAATGGCTGAATGTAGTAGGATTAATTTGAAGTTTCTGTACAATTTGGAATGAAAGGAGAAAAGTGCATTAATTGACTAAATTTTGATGAAATTTACCTTTTAAATGTTTTTGAAATTGGTGTGGTAAATGAAGGTTTACTTAGTAGCCATAGTCCAGAACTATGTACAGTCAAAAGTCGTTAATTCGGACCTCAAAGCTAAAAACTTTCTGCGCATGCGCCGCGTCAGCACATGCGCACAGGCGTTTTACGTGTGCGCGTAAGACCTTGACTACTGCGCAAGTGCAGAATACGTTTTCGCTGCCCGTTTAATGTATAACGGACGGTGTAAGCTAAAAATTATCTATTTCAGTTATGTTAATGATTGCGTTGTTCCTTAATCTTCGAATTGGATCCTGCTTATTATTTTTGCAGACTGTAAGAGCAATTTTATAAAAGTAAAACTTGAACTTTCGATTATGTCAAATAGAATTTCCGATGCTGGAAATTCCAAAGGATCTACAAAACGAAAGTTATGTTTTCGATGTCCAACAAACAAAAAGTGGAATTGCTGCAAAAACGAATAAGACATGAAGAATGTGACAGAGAGGTTAGTGAAACGAAAAAATTTCGATTGACACGTTAGTCAGTATTCTCGGCACAGCAATTAACGGGACTTGAACAGCAGAACTTGTAACTGAACAAGAAATTATGTCTTTTTATAGAATTAAAGAGAAAGTAATATCACATAAAATGAAGCAACTTAAACAACTTACATTGAGAGAAATGTTTAATAAAGTAAACAAATAAATATTAAGCTTTTTTTTTTTTTTTTTTTTTTTTTTGTAAATTTTGATACCTTTTAGATCATAATTTTTTCTTTATTTCATAAATTATAGTTGCCAATATTTTTAATTTTAGAATTTCTGCATGCCATCTTACGAGATTTATACTGATGATCTATAATCCGGAATCGCCGAAGTCCCGACGAGTCCGGATTAACGACTTTTGACTGTAGTAAATTTTTTAGCCTTATTTTTGTGAATTTCTGTGGCGACGCCGATATACAGATTGTAGTTCAGATAATTTTAGGGTACAACTCTGATATACGCCCTAATTTCACCAAATGTGGCGATATGTGTTCTGCGCTGGTTTTTAGCGCAATTGCGCCTTCTATGGCAACCCTGTTGACATTGAACAATCTTTCGCTGGAGCTCGTTGATTCCCGTCTGTGTCAATATAAAATGGTAGAACTTGTTGTGTGGAAAGAGGGTCTGTGAGATTATTTTTAATGGCTGTGCATGATAGAAGTAGGGATTTGTGATTTTATTTATTTGTGAACCATAGCATGAATTTTCTGGAGTGTGTCTGGCTGTCATGTAAATAGGATAGTGATTACGTAGCGGCATGTTATAGGCGGTATGAAATTGGTATTTCTGCTGCTCAAAAAAGCATTAATTCATGGTAAGTGCATTTTATTTTATTCTTGTTCTTATTTTGTAGAATGTTATGTTCATTGGTTCTTTAGTATGAATTTCTGTCGTTATTGTTGTTTTTGAAACAGAACGCTGTGTACATGGTATTATTTGAAATTTATTGTTATTATGTTATTTTATTAAAGCGAGGTGTGCGTAGATCGTAGATTCGTTCCTTGTCTAAATTGTGCAATTCGTAGATGTTTTTTTAAGTTTAAACAGGATGCTGTGTACATGGTATTCTTTGAAATTTAATGTTGTTATGTTAATTTATTAAAGCGAGGTGTGCGTAGTTCGTAGATTCGTTCCTTGCCTAAATTGTGCAATTCGTAGATGTTTTTTTAAGTTTAAACAGGATGCTGTGTATATGGTATTCTTTGAAATTTATTGTTGTTATGTTAATTTATTAAAGCGAGGTGTGCGTAGTTCGTAGATTCATTCCTTGCCTAAATTGTGCAATTCATAGATTTTTTTTTTAAAGTTTAAACAGAATGCTGTGTATATGGTATTCTTTGAAATTTATTGTTGTTATGTTAATTTATTAAAGCGAGGTGTGCATAGTTCGTTGCCTACATTGTGCCATTCATAGATTTTTTTTTAAGTTAAAACATGTCGCTGTGTACATGGATTCTTGTCAGATATTTTTGGTTAGAAAGTTTACATTTTTGCTATCTAAATTTTTTGTTTTTGTTTCGGATTTTTAGCTTAAATCGTGTGTTCAAAACGTAGTTTTTGCATGTGCGAAAACTGCATTTTTGGAGACATTTTAGGCTTAAAGTTTGAAATATAGAAAAAAAATGTAGATAGTAATATGGCAGCGGGAATGGCGAGTTGAGGGCGCATATCAGAGTAGTTCCAATTTTAGGAAGTTTTTGGATGCTGTTAGGAATTTTGTGTGTCGCAGACTAAAGATGAACGAATTTCTAAATAAGGTAAGAGAATATTTGCTTTGTGTAGTGCTAAAATACATAACAGGTTTTTCTTTTTTTGTGTCATTCTATTGTTTGGTTTAAAATGTAGTTTATTTGATTGTGTATTTTTTGTTTGCCTGTACTGTAGATTTGGGTACTCCTTTGACTTTTTAAGTGAAAAACCTATCAATGTGTACATGGACAAACTCAAGGGAGTGTGTAAAGCATAGTTTGCGCAAATCTCAGATATTTTTTTTAAAGTGAAAATGGGTCGATGTGTACATGGATAAAGTCGAAAGAGTGCACAATGCCATTTTTGTGCAATTCGGGGATTTTTTTAAAGTGAAAATACGTCGATGTGTACACGGAGTTTGTGCAATTCTTTGACTTGTTATTCTGGTTTACGTAGCAGCAATTTTTGTGCCAAAAATCGCCGTTATGCAGGCCAAAATAACAAGTCAAAGAATTGCACAAACTCGGTATCCATGTGCCGCCAAAAATCGCCAAGGGCTACCCTAAAATATACTTTTACCTAAGTTAGTAATATATTTATAATTACTGTTAGTAATATATTGTTACGTGCATACGGGTTCATTACACAATGAATGCACAAGTTTGATGAAAAATGAACAAAATTTATTATTATCACAACAAAAATTTCCTCAGTTATTCTTTCAGTATTACAATATCTCACAGTAGTTATCTTAACTACTCAAACATTCAACAGAAGTTAATTCAAAACAGCTAAAGAAAGCTAATCCGTGAATTTGCTACAAGAGCAGTTTTCTAAACAAACTCTTAAAACAACAACAAGTTTACTAAAATAACTGCCTACTGAATCGAGAGAATTTCCTCCTTTTTATAATATTTTTAAATCGTGCAAGAACTTTCTGGAACTTTCTCGAAATCAAAAAGAGATATTTATTAAATGTTACATGCACATGCTATTGTATTTTCAATTTTTCGGCTTAGCTTTCTTTTAATATTCGGCAGGCGCTGCTCTGGGCGGGAAATAAAACAATTTAATTTACAATTCAACTAACATTAGCTATTTAAGTACCAAATCCTTAACACTGACCCTTCCCAAGGACTGCACATCCCGGGCAGTACAATCCCTGGACAGGAAGCCAAACTTACAACTGTGGCATAAATGCAATAATAAGCATTACATTACAATAATAAACAACATGAACAATAAATGCAATAAATAAAACAAATCAAATGCTATCAAGTACAAATCAAATACAAAATACAAACCAAATACTAAATACACATTTAGAAATAAAAAGACCATGGTCTTACACTATTTACAATTATTTACATTACACACTATGGCCATAGTAATGAGCTAACCTGTCGTAATGAACGACTTTAGGCTTAGAGTTCAATGACTTACGAATCCGAATCACGGCATCATTCAGCCTGTTTAGGACCATGTACGGACCATCCCAAGGTGACTGTAATTTCGAACAAAGTCCTTTCCATCGAGTCGGATTCCACAACCACACCTTGTCTCTTTTGTGGAATTGATGTTCAGTAGCTCTTGTGTCGTAGCAGGTCTTCATTTTCTCCGTCGCCAAGTTGACTCGCTCTCATGCAAAGTTGTGCATCACTTCAAACCAGGCCTGGAGATCTTGAATATACTCCTCAGGCCATGAAGGAGCATCCGGAGGGCAACCAAACAAG